AGGAACTTTTCCTTTGTTACAGCTAGGTCCACTTGAGAGTATAGCCCAACCATTTATTTCAAGATTTCTACTGATGCCATCATACTCAGCCTTTCATGGAAGTGTGCCTCATATTCATTCACAGTTGTCTTCTCCGCCCCCCACTCAGTTGCTGCCTAAAACTGGTGAATTCAGCAGTTAGCTTTCCAACTTGGGATTTTAACTCTCATTTCTCTTTATTTACAGCCTTCAAGGAGGATAAAATGATCCTCTATAGGTTATCAAAATTCTCGACTCACTTCGTAAAAGCATTAACTTTAGCTTTGCAAAGGTGAACTTCCTTCTTCAATTCATCATTTTCCTTGGAAAGTGCCTCCATCCTCGACTCCACCTCAACTTGCTTCACCTTGAAGGCTTCAATGGCCTCATCGACAATAGATCTCTCACTCTTAACTTTGTTCAACTCAGCCTTTGCAACAGACGCCCTCTGAAGAAACTTTTTATTAAGTTTCTGCAAGCTCTTCAAGTTTATTTGGGCATTAAGGAAGAAGTCTTATGAGCGAGCCTGCAAGATGAGGCTGGCTTCTATCATGTCCACCGAGTCGCAGGTCTCGACGTATAAAGAGTACTTGTGATGAATTCTCATAGCCACCTAGACTATAACGGGAAGCGATTCCATGACAGTCTGGACGATCTCGTTCAACTTCCCTCCTAGAAAATTCTGAGCTTTTCCATCAGAATACTCCTATTCTGACCTCCATCATCCTCTTTTTCTTTATAAGGCCACTCTTCTCTTTGCACTGATCCTCAACATCAAATTTTTTATAGAAGATTGGGGGGGATGTCGGAACTAGCTTCTTTATCATTTTGAGACTTCTCCGCCTGAGGCTCTACTTCTTCTTTTTTTTTCTAGAGGCGGCAGAGGGTTCAGCTTTGACAAATGACCCAACTTATCCTTTCGATGCTTATACTCATGAGTGCTAGTACTTTATTCTTCGCCTCGCCCAACCCATCTGCTTTATGAAGAACATGTCCGGCTTGACATGCTCTTCTTATCATGTTGTTCTAGAAAGAGAAACACATAGATATTTGTTCAAAACACAAGGCCAATGCATTGAATTACGAAGCTACATACATTTGGTGGCCATCAGCAAGTGAGTAACGAAGAGGGTTCGTTTGCCAACAACATTCTTGAAATACCTCTCCTCAACAAGCAATCGTAAATGGCTTTGATGATAGCCTACTCAGACGGCTCGAGCTCGAAACGATTGATTGCAGCTGTATAAAAAGTAAGTTAATAGTACGACTAACCAAAATACAACAATATACACATAGCAAACAAAAACTTATTATACTCGTGACACTGGGTCGACACTATTATTTTTGGGACCGCATCAACCTCCACTATCTGCCAACGATCCCTCTCCCAAAACCAAGACAACTTTCAGTTCCTTATTAAGGTCGATATGTGCAAAATGAAGGGCAAATGCAGCCCCAGGGGTTCATGCAATACCACATTTTACAATCCTCTCCCCATTAGAGGCCTGGGGCTGGAAAAGGCTCTGGAAGACATATGGATGAATATCCTTGCCAAAAGTTACCTCCTTTCAAAGAATGAAGGCCTCTGCCAATTGGCTACATGCATTGGGCACAATCTATGTAGGGACAATGTTGTATTGCCAATTATATACCTAAAAAATGGTGTGGGGACAATTTCATCCCAATACTTAGGCCTCACTTACAGCAGCATAGTCCTCCATAGGATAACAAGTTCGCTAATCAAGAGATGCTCCTTGAATGTGTCTAGTTTGCTTTTTTCTATGTAGGTGGGCCATAGTAAAGTCCCCCACCTTACGCTATAATCTATAAGACTCTCTTGCATCATCCATATACTATAAAGGCGTCACATTGCCTCCATCATCCTCTTCATATAGATCAATGGAGGCAAGCCAGCCTCAACCCAAATGATCGCCATATCAATTTGTTAGAAGACCCCCATATTATACTTAGTTTTGACGAAGAAGCCATTAGAAAGTTTCTTTTTAAGGGTAAGCAGTAAGAAAAATACAAGGGTTTGTAACTTACGCAACTCACAAGCACATACGAAAAGGAAGATTGAATACAAATGATCATCGAAAAAGCTGTAAAAATTGTCAAAAAATAGCAAATGATCTTTTAGGCGATTGGTGAATTTTTGTAGAGTTAAAAATGTAAAAAATGGCTAAGTTACCCCTTTTATAAGCAACGAAGACGAAGCGTCTGCGAAATCTCAGGTATACATCTGTAACCCCTATCCAACATGTTAAAACCAAAAGGTACCTGTTGAAATTTGAATCGACTCATACAGTTGTAACAGACCATCATCATGGCGCGAAAACCCCTAAACTGCTAAATTGTTGCACATTGGAAACTGACGATGTTTTCAAATTATTACAGCATGCTTCCCATCAACTTCAACTACATTAACAAGCTTGCCCTCTTAGCAGGGGCTCTGCCTTTATTTCATTCAGCCTTCCTATAGGCTTCAACTACATCAATATGCTCGCCCTCTCAGCAGAGGTCTCACCTTTACTTCATTCAGCTTTACCACAGGCTTCGAATATATCAACAGGCTCACCCTCTTTGCATGGGCCTCACCATTACTTCATTTTGCCTTACAACAAGCTTTAACTACGTTAACAGGCTCGCCCTCTTAGTAGGCATGGGGTTTGCTTCATTCAGCTTTACGACAGGCTTTAACTACATCAACAAGCTCGCCCTCTTAGCAGGGGCCTCGTCTTTACTTAATTTGTCCTTACTACAGGCTTTAACTACATCAACAGGCTAGCCCTCTTAGCAGGGGCCTCACTTGTGCTTCATTTAGCCTTATTAAAGGCTTCGACTACATCAACAGGCTTGCCCTCTTAGCATGGACATCACCTTTGCTCCATTTAGTTTTCCTACAAGTTTCAACTACATCAATAAGCTCACCCTCTTAGCAAGGGTTTCTCTTCGCATTTGCTTCATTCAGTCTTACTACAGGCTTCAACTACATCAACTGGCTCGCCCTGTTAGCAGGGGCCTCTCCTTTTCTTCATTTAGCTTTACTATAGGTTTCAACAACATCAACATCGAATTTTCTCTATCACAAAATATCAAACCTCAACTTAGAAGTCCACGCATTATATGAATAATCATACATTGACTTCATGAACTATTGTTTTACCTTACAATATAAGGTTCTAGAAATCCTACATGGCAAGCAAGCCTAGGGCCCCATACCCTGTGTCAAACTGCCACAAACACTATCGTGCACTACCACTTTTTTTTTTCTAGAAAAGACGTACAAAAATAGAAGTCATCTTAAAAGTCCACGCATTAAATGAATAATCATACATGGACTTCAGGAACTATTGTTACGCCTCACGATATGACTTCATAAATCTTACATGGTAAACAAGCCTAAAACCCCACACCTTGTGTCAAACTGCCATGAAGGCAGTCTGTGGCAGTTTGACCAAATTTGTGAACAGGCCAAGACGATGTGCGAAGGCCGAACCTATTGATGCGCGTTGACCCTCGTGGTAAGAACCGAACTTGCATCATGGAAGAACCGCTAAAGGATCTTGGCACAAAATCTTCTTGGACAATCTATAGTACGTGATTAATGTGACAACCTACAACTGCAATTGCCCTGTCCAGCTACACATGTCAAGTCCAAAGCTGCAAGCTAGGTATTGTGGATAATAAAGTGGTACTAGCATTTAGTGTACGATTGATTGATGGCAATGACAAGAGGTCCCATTGTGGGGATGAGGCCTCATGTCCCCTCATCTAATGACTCTTAATCGTCGTCTTCTACTATAAAAGTTCATACTTAGTGTCATTTTCAGGATAATGCAAGTTTAATATCTTAACTTACAACTTTACTCTTTTATTATTCTTGATACCCATCCCAATGCTGACCCCCTTTTTACATGGGAGGCTCATGTCTAAAACCGTCCTACACTCGTATATTGGAGTGCGCGTGACCAATTCCACCACCATTGGAGGAAGCCACGTGTAATTAATGGTTTGTCCAAATGTGTAGGAATCAGGTTTGCGTGAATGAAAAGGCTTTGAGATCTGTTGACCACATTGGATATACAAAATTTGAATGAAATCAAATATGATTAATTTTTCTTGATTAAGAATATTTGAATTAATTGTTCGTTGTTTAAGGATTTTTATTCGACTAAAACAAGAATCATATCTGTTTTCTTTTTTCTCTAGCTATTCTTATCATATGGGAAGGGAATTACTTCAACTTCCTTTGTTATTCATTGAATCTTTCATTCACTAGTATTGAATACTTTTACTTTGTTCATTGGGTATCTAAGAATTCCTTTCAATCAATAATTGGATAATATTAACCAAATCGTTAACTGTCTATAAACCTTTTATATAAAAAGTTGAATAATTCAATTGATTGGTATGAATTTTGCACTACCAAAGTGTTTCACCTTGAATCCTCACTTATCAAGTTCCGTCTCGAAATATGCAATTTCTTCTGAAGAATTATTCGAGAAAAATAAAAAAGTTTAGCTTCTAAAGTACGAGCGTGCCTATTTTTCCTTGTTGAATTCTTGTGAGAGTGCAGGTCTAAAAGAAGTGTCACAACCATCTAAAAATAATCTGGATCTCTGATTGGGTTTGACCCATCGAGTTATCTAAGAAGTAAATTGTCGTAATAATTTTATTACATCGTAAATTGAAACTTAACCAACTGGGAAACCTTAATTTATGCCGCCTTTGATTCTTGAGATGTGCCAATACAGAGCTACAAATGCATCCAAGGATATCTCGAAGAACAACTGTACATCCAAATCCCAGTGCTTTCCCTACCGTACAAGAGTCCAAATGCCGGAGTAGAGCCCTACCAGAGAAGCTCAATCGACAAGAAAAAGTACAATACACAGCAGAAAATTTAATTTACAAGTTAATAAACTCTGTTAAAAAAAAAAAAATCTATAGACTTAGTTAAGCAAATCCCTAAGAAGTTTTTATTTCCAAGCAGAAGATGTAGCCATAGCTCTGTTCTTCCATCCAAGATATAGAGCGCCATTGCTCTCCGCGATTCTGTAATTGGGGCTATACTCATTTAACATGTCCATAATGGCGGTGCTTACCGATTGACTCAATGGGATTGGAGAAAATCCGGCCATCATGAGTCTCAACCTCCATTTTCCAAAAAGCTCATGCCTTTCCACCCTGTCGGTATCCTCACATGCTATTATGTTGACAACATCCCTTGCTACACAGTGTTCCTCAGCATTAATCCGCTGCTTGTCTTCCCTTGGTCGAGCTGCATCAATTGACTCAAACATTGCTGTGTAATAGTCTAGAGTTTCACAGAATCGCTGAAGGAACGGGGCAGTGTTAGTGTTGGATTCTTGTTCAACTAGGGTTACAACCTTTGGCGACAAGCTCTTAACTAGTCTAAGTAAGCGGTCTCGATGATTTGTAGTGCTCACGCTCTCGTCTGGCATGTGGTGCAGCATATAAGGGAAATTTACAGCCAAGGCTTCTCCATGTCGTATCTGAAGATTCTCTAGTTGGACTTCACATCCTGACATTCCAGCGGCATGGAATTCAAATGGCACTCCACATGATTTGGCCACTTTTGCCAGAGTCTCACCCACTAGCTCAAGTCCTCCACCTCGTGCATGAGCAGATTGGGAATCATCAACACCAGTAATGTGGATATATGGAGGTCCACCAGGCCGACCTGCAAGAGCCCGAATAAGAAATACCCACTGACTACCCTGTGCAATCTGAAAATCAATTATGTGGATTCTATTCTCATTTTCCATGGCTTCCCCAATTACGACATTGGCAGACATATACGCGAACTTGTAATACGGGCAGACATGATAAAGCACCTGCATGTAAGATATCAATTCTGAACTTGTTATCTCTTTGCACTTCAACTTTTTGTAGATTATACTCCCTGAGGACAACAATCTTGCCCTGAGCCCTTCCAACATGTATGCACTCAGCCTTTCTATAGGCTCACCGGATACTGAAACCCTTCTTTCTAATATGTCCATCAGAGCTTCTGCACTTGATACATCGTGTTCTGATACTGCTTCGGCGCATGCAACGAGCACCTGTTTCAGGTCCATGTTGGGTGCCATTTCTATGATTCGGTTGAATTTATTCAAGGTAGAAGTTTGTGAGGGTACACCGTAAAAGGAGCAACTGTCATCCATTTCAGATTCAGGTCCCAACAATTCATCCCTCAATACCATGAGTGCTTGCATCAATTTGTTGTCATCATTAACCCCGGAATGCCCACTCAATGGTGAACCGTAATTATTATCAGATGAATGATGGATATCAGACATGTAGGATTGAGAACACGGGGGAGAAAATGGGCTCCTGTTAGACGCGACACTTCCAGCTGCAGGTGAATTGTAGATAACATAATCAGTTGCTGGTGTTGATTCCAAAGTGAAGAATTGTTCGGTGCAAGTTTGAAAAGAAACTTCAGTCCCTTGGCTAACTCCAATACCACTTGAACTGCTGTTCAGAACTTGCAAAGGAGAAAAGCAATATGGCTCGATCTGCTGCATAGGTTGATGGTACAAACTGTGGATACCGGACGATGTTTGAGGTTCCTGGGATGCTTGCATTTCTAATGATGCTGATTTAGTAAAGGTAATCTCAACCTGTCTCAATTCATGTACAGTAGACACATCTCATTTGGCAGAGATACTTCAACAGCAAAAAATATATTCTGTAGCCAAATTAGCAACTTAGCCTCTGATAATTTGACCTTTGTGATAGAAATCTGCCATTTGAAAGAACACACGATAAATGCATTTCAACAATACAGATCACATCATCAAGTTAAATACATAGTTTCAAAGGCTTGACAACATTTGATTACTAATGCAATCATGAATCCTCAGTAAAATAATCGTGGGGTGACTATAAATGCATAAACAGCAGCCGGCTGAGAAGCTTCTAAATGAGAAAAAGGGACAAGTTGACGAGTTCTAATATAACATCTCCTTATTTATTTGATCTATTATTGAGACAGGCCTGCCTGCCATGTTCAATTAACTGAGAATTTTAAGGTCCCGTTATGTTCCTATTGTGAGGTCAACACCTGCTTACACCTTTTACATCGAATATATCAACAAAAAGTTAACCAAATACATAATCCACTGGAAGACAAGTATGAAATGGAATTAATTCCTTTATTTATGGGATGAATTCAGAAGACTAAGATTTTGGTATGATGATCAAACTGAACACTATAATATATTGTTAGATGTAAGATGAATGAGGAAAGATGCTTATAATACTGAAATTATATTTCCCAGCGAGGACTATACAAAGCCGAAAGTCAATGCCAATTTGCTAATAATTGAAGGACAGAACCAAATTACAGGCGTAAATGTTCACATAGAGTTAAAGATAACAAAAAATAATTGAAACTTCTCTTTTATGTACAGAGATTTGTGGTTGAACTATTGAACAAATAACAGAACTTAATGAATATCAAATAGATTATATATCGAATGAAAATCTATTTGAACCTTTTAACATCACAAAGCAAAATTCCCAAGAACAAATCGAAGAATAAAATGACAACCACTCCTTCAAAATTTCTTCATCCAACCATCAACCCACATCATAAATGAAGCTAATTAAAGAGGAAACCCACTCCTTCAAGATTTTGTTAAAGACCCATCAACCCACATCAAAAATGAAATTATTCTTAATCAAAAGATATATCTATAACACAAACTATAATTACCCAAAAAATTGTTGAAATCAATTTCGAACCAGAAAAGAATTAAAGAAGCCAAAAATTAGAGGCAAGTTTTGCTCTGCATACCTCGGGAAAGATTCAACTCAGGTAGTTTAGATGCTCTCAAATCTCAGAGAGAAGAACAGTTTGCCTTGTGTTGAAATGAAGAATCGGGGAGTCAATAATGTCTTATTTTTATATAGTTGGGGTGTTGTAAGGAACAATTATTGGCGTTACTACGCAGGTGCCCATCGACAAACGTGTGAAGACCAGAAATTTACTGATAGTGATACCGTTGTGGCTACCACAGTCCAAAAATCAACTGGTGGACTTCAGCGCGTAGCGAAATGTATTTTGCTCCACGCAAAAATTGATTTCAAATTTTATCCCCAAAAACTAAGAAGGATGCCGAATAATTTTAGATATAGTAGTGCTTTAAATTTTTTTTTTTACCCCAAGAATAGTAAAGATATTATTGTCTCAACAATTGAATTTTAATTTTTTAATGATTAAATGGACTGAAATTGTTTATCTTGTAAAGAATTCCAAAGGGTTATACTACTTTTGGTGATTCAATTATCTAATTATCAATGGAATAAATGGTTCCACTGTAAGAAAATTACTGGTTCTTGATTTGATTTCGATTCTCTTTGAAACAGACAATTTGATACTCATCGGCACGCTATGTGTATAGACGTAATTTCATACAGAAGTCGTGATATGAAAATTAGTTGTATAAGATCACTAGTAAATGGCTCAACTCAACAAGTATATAGCTTAATACGAGATGCTAAAACAACTTTGAAAATCCAATACAACGTATTTTGCATAGCTTAGACCCTTATTCTACACAAGCTTTCTTGAACCAATACATACCTAAAAAGTGATGTCTCGAGTTTGGAAGAATCCTCCATGCTAAATTTTAAAACAGTATGGGTCAACCCATCAAATTAATAAAAATAAAAAGTTAATAATAGAGTTGGTGCGATATCATTAAATTATTGTCATCTTTGACAAATTGGCCTAAAACTCTTACAAAATAATAATTGTCTTTGCAAAAGAAATACCGACATTAGAAATCAAAATCAAAATCAAAATCAAAATCAAACGAAGAATAATAAAACCCCGAGTAAAAATCTTTCTATCATTGAATTGGAAAAAAGTGACAGGAAGGAAGGCGAATAGGAGTTTCTACACAATATTCACCACAAATATTTGTCAAGTTCGTACAAATATGCGAGACTTTAATTGTTTACTCGGTTGGCTTGGCTATAATTGTAAATAAAACAAAAAAATTGGGCCCGGTCCGCGTTTCTCTGTAGCCGTGTTCTGAGAAGCAACATAAATTTATAATTTATTATGGGAGAAGTAACGGGGCAACAACCGCTTACGTCAGAAACTATCAGTAAGATGACCTTCCCTTGTCGTTGTCTAGGTTTTGACGTCAAATCCAACGGGCTATTGATAATATTCCCAAAGCTGATTAAATCTCAACCACTCGACTCCATTCCCAAGTCCACCCATGGTTTTGATTAATTTCGTCAAGTTGTTCTTACACTTGCTGATCTCACCAATCATTATAAAGCTTTAATAAATATTTTACCAGATTTTAATAAAAGATGATAAAATATGTTGTTATATTTTGATAAAAGTTGAACTGTCCGAGGAACGTATGATTAAAATTGAAATTTGATCCATTAAATTGTTGATAAAATTGATTGGTTTAAATTTTATAAAAAATATCACATCCGAAGAATTCAAGTTTTACTTTGACTGTTTGATACGAAAGTAAAAATGAAATTCGAATTTCAAGGTACAATCACTTTAAATTGTATTTTCTTTATTTTCATGGAAAACAAATTCTTATGGATTTGGTGAGTTTTTATTTTCCAACTAACGTGGAATTGGAATTCCTTTCCACATTTGCCAATCAAACAGACCCTAGTTTAAATTCAATGGAAAATGTCACATTCGAGGAATTCAATTTCTACTTTGGCTGTTTGATACGAAAGTGGAAATGAAGTTCGAATTTCAACGTACAACCACTTTAAACTTTTTTTTTTTTTGCCAATTTCATGAAAAATGCATTCATATGGGGTACTTGAGTTTTTATTTTCCAACTTACATGGAATTATAAAGCATTTCTACATTTGCCAATCAAATGGATTCTAAGTGTACTAACTTGACATTATACTCAGCCTTCGTTTGATCTAGCTTTGTTAAGATTATATTGAGTGAGTTTCATAAAATACGTGGTCAAAAATTGTAGATTCAATAAATGTGAAGTTAAAAATAAAATTCAATCAACTTATAATTTCAAAAAAGTTGAACCAAACAAGGTGTCATCTTATAAATTCTTAAGTTACTCATTTCTATGTACGTGTAAAGTAAACACGGCTGTATTATGTTAAATAGAAAGGCATTAGTTAAGATAATGTTGATTAAGGAATAATGGAAAAGTGGATTCTTGATATTTACTTTTAACTCAAAAATGGTATTAGCCGTCCATGTCCTTATCCTTATCTTACCTAAAGTTTAGAATGCTCTAATCTTTTTTTAAACAACTAACGCTTTTGCGGTGAAAACAATTTATTAAATGACACTTAATGTTGTGTGTTAATCTTTTTTTATATTATCATAGACCTCGTTTGGGTAATTGAAATGGCTTTTTATTTATTTTTTATCATAGACCTCGTTTTGATAATTGAAAGAGTAATGTTATTCATCTCCACTGGGGATGAAAACACAGTCTAAATGGTCATCAATGAAAACATTTAGATTAATTGATGCTACCAATAAAAGCCATACATGCACTTGGATATCTAACATCGGTTGGTAAGATTCGCCTTTAGTTTACATTCTCCATGTACTTTACTTTATAGCAAATTATTTTTTATATGTTCTTTCGTTGTAAACTCTCGCCTACGTATTCAAATTGTTGCTAGAAAATGCTTATCTATTCTAGTGATATGTTTTTTTATTGCCACTTGAGCATGAGGCGGTTTTTTTTGCAATAAACACTATGAAGAATTGTTTGCATACATAATTAAATTGGAGATAAGCAAATAATGAGAGTTTGTTCGTTTATATTGAAACATATTGATTGCTAGATGGGAAAACAAAAGGTCAAAAATCCAACAAAGATTTGACAGGTGAACTAGTCGATGTTACGAGAACCAGTTGATGGCAGGTGACCAAACCTAATAAGGGTCTAGCTAGCGAACTAATCCTACAAGGGTCTGCCAGACAACTAAACCCGAAAAAGTTTGATGATGAACTAGTTGATGCTAGACGAGACGATTGATGGAAGGTGACCAAACCCAATAATGACCATTAGTTGATAACTTGCGAACATAGGTGAACTAGTCGATGACACTCTATGTAAATCAGGAACGGATCTAGGATCGAATTACAAATCGGGCTAATACGTAAAAAAATAATAAAAATTACACAATTTTTTTTTTTTACGTAGTTTTTTTTTTCTACCTAAAAAAATTCAATGGACTGGGGACTGGATCGGGCCCTCCATCTGTCCCTGACGTGGATGATGGTAGTCTACCGAAGAGCAATGGATCGACCACTCCATCAATAATTGATGGACCACATGACATGTTTAAAGAGAGAATTTACCACATGATTTAGACCTGCTCAATAATCAAATGGTGGCTATGCTCTTCATCCCAAATATCGAAAAATGATAGTTTGCGTATCTAAGGAGTTTCAAAATGGTCTGGAATGTGGACAAAAATCACTTGACATGTGGACAAGAATTGCTTGGCATATGGACGAAAATTGTCAACCTATAAATCCCCCCAAAAGGGTCAGGTATGGATAAGGCATTTTTACCAATTTTCTTTTATAATTTTTTCCTCG